GGGTGCTGGGGGTGAGAGGCTGGACATGCCCCGGCCATGGCACTCACAGCCCAGAGAGCCAAACGTGTCCTGGGCTGCACCCAGAGCACCRTGGGCAGCAGGGGAGGGAGGGGATTCTGCCCCTCTGCTCCGCTCTGCTGAGACCCACCTGGAGCATCCAGCCCTGGGGACCCWGCGCAGGAAGGACACWGWCCTATTGGAGCAGGTCCAGAGGGGAGGCTACCAAGATGGTTGGAAGGCTGGAGCACCTTTCCTACAAGGAAATGCTGAGAGAGTYKTGGTTGTTCACCCCRGACAAGAGAAGGCTCTGGGGAGATCTTMTCACATCTTTCCAGTAGCTAAACGGGGCTTATAAAAAAGATGGGACAGACGAATTGAACGGGGTCTGTAGTGACAGGAAAAGAGGTAATGGTTTTCAACTAAAAGAGGGCAGATTCACACTAGATACGAGAAGGATGTTCTTTACCAGCAGGGTTGTGACACACTGGCATGGATTGCCCACAGAACTGTGGAGTGCTCAATCCATGGAAACGTGAGGACAGGTTTGGCAGGGCTCTGAGGAACCTGATGTCCAGCTGATGTCACTGCTTATTGCTGTGCATGTGGACAAGGCAATCTTTAAAGGTCCCTCACAATCCAAGCCATTCTATGCTGCTTTATTTGAATCTTCAGCAGAAAGTAGGCATACAGTGCCAATTTGATAGTTTAATGTGCCTGTTTTTCTTTGGGGCTTTGCATGTATTAGTAAATCTGTATTGTGACAGAACAAAGAACCTGATGCCAAGTGTTTTAATRTCAGAAAAGAGAGATACTTATGATCTAAATGAAAGTCAAGGCTAAAAACTGGGGTCAAGTCAATCAGTGCTACTGAGGTGTATTAATAGTAATAGTAATAGTATTAATGTAATAGTATTGATGTAGTAACACAGTAAGCATTGTCTTGCTTTTATTATTTTGTTAGCAAAAACATATTTTGAAGGAGAACAAGTAATAATTTTCCAATTTGGCTGAGTGTGAGATCCTTTTGTCACCAGCCTCAGCTGGCCTGGAGTCATGCTATTGCAGAAGTGGATGTTYCCACCTGCTCCTTTTGRTTGGCACTGATGTGCACGTGGCAGRGGAGTCAGCTGGATCAGTTTGCTGCTTTGTGTGCACCCAAGTTTGCATCTTGTAGGGTTAGTTTCGCCAAGGCAGAGATATGATCCAGTTGAGCCTGCGGCTACCTGAGCACTAGTTGCTGTCACGAAGGTGATGAGACTGTTTGGGTGTGTGGGGAGGAGACATGTGGATTCTCAAAGATAGGCTTAAGCCAGTTGTGAAACTTGAATGTGATTGATTCTCTCTTAGGGACTATTTTTAGMAGGGCAGTGTGTTTTTCTTGGGTTTCTTTCAAAAGTTACTATGTGTGACAAAAATGTACCCACGATTTCTGAAACCACTGTGTAAAGAGCTGGAGTACAGAGCATATTGTGGGCAGCCTTTTATSAAGAATGAGCAGTCTCTGTCATGCATGTTCTTTGTGCCTTCTAAATCAATCCATCCTGCTTGTGTAATAAAAACAGGATGACACCCTTTATTTTTGTTTTCATTGATCTGTACGGTCAACTAAAAGGTAGAGTGGTATGGCTGCCTGTTCTTCTGCTGTTCTTTGTGTAGGGGCAATAGCTGAAGACACAAGAGTCTGTGCTGCCTTGAAATAGGGTATCATAGACCTCTTTTTAAATCTTGCTGTTTAAAATCAGTGCTTTCAGTTGAAGATACRTGGGAAGGGAATTGATCTCTAATGGATTGTTAGTTTTCTTGTTGTGTCGTCCCCCTAAATTGTTGTTCCTTGGAAAGCAGGTCRAAAAATGAAAAAACCTGACAAACCATTCCAGTTTCAGTATTGTATGTAAGAGTAGAATGGTTTTTGCATTCATACTCTCATCCTTGGATGCTCTCTTCCCTGCCAGTCTTTACTTTTGTCAAGTAATGACTTGACATTACTTGACAGTAATGATTAATGAACTTCCTTTATCAGTGAAGTGAGGTAGTTTCTTGGTTAACTTGAGCATAAGCAGGTTGGACAGCCAAGAGGACAGACATATAGTAATTGCAGGAAAGCCATTTGCCAAAATGACTTTTCACCACTTCTGCAAGCCAAAAGACAAATAATCATGCAACTGTCAATCTCTGTAAGTGTGCAAACATCATGAAGTTCCATAGCTATGTCAATTGTAATACCTAATCAGGTTTGTCTGCCTTGATCCTTGAATGATACCTCTGTTGCAAGCTGTACATGTAAACTGCTTTAAAAATAAGAGGTATGATGGATTTCTCTCTTTTGTATAATCCAACCTGTTTCCTTAGAACAAGGTTGTCTGGCAAAGAGATGATAGCTTTAATCTGCTGTGTTTCTCACAGATAATGTGTGGTCCTTCCACTTCTGTCAGATGGCTGAAGCAATTCAGACTTGGTTAAGTTCTGGATGTTATTTGGCATCCTAATGACAGACATGCATACATTTACTAGAAGGAAGAGCTGAATTTTGTGAAAAGCTTAAAATCAAGAGACAAACATGCACAGATCACTGTTGGATGCTGGTGGCGTTTTTTATGTCCAGCAAACATATTGTTGGCTGATTTTTACTTTCTGTATAATGAGTAGCTGGGAAAAGAGTTCTTATTCGTGCTTGAGATAACTGATCATACTGTAATTTTCTTTGTTATCAGGACTTTGTAAAGGCTCTTAATGTCCACACTGCTTTGAAGTTGTTTGCAGATGTACTTATTTCAACAGCAGAAAATATTTTGTATTTTATTTACTCTACTATCTCTAAAACTCTTAAAATGGTATTGAAATTTTCTGCACTCTCAGCTGGGTGCTTCTCTTGGTTCTTCACATTTCTCCCTTTTTGGCTTTAGAAGTGTCTAGCAACTKTTTGGCTTACCTTGGCTTCTTCATGCTGGATTTACAAGGATGATTTCTGGGCAGTTAGAGATGCAGCTTTCGAGTGTGAGCTTTTGGCTTCCTGTGATGCCCCAGGTGATGCGAGACTGTCACTATGCACAGACGGTGGTTGCTTATTTTRCTTTGGGAAGGTGGTGGTTGTTTTTAAACTACTCAGTGGCCAAGTTCCTTACTAAGCAAGTGGAGAAGTTACTACTGAAACCTTTGCAGCCAAAACGACATAGCCAGCCCTTATATGTGCATAGTTTAAGTTTTAGTCCAATTAGTTTAGAGTTTACCTAAAGGTATTTTGTGTTAGAGTCAGTCTTTATTAAGCAAGACARGTGTATGACAGCGGTGTTAGATTAGAGAATGCAAAGGGCTTTTAATTTCAATCTTCATACTAGTTGACCTGCTCTTCCAGGTGGTAATCTTCTACAGCTGAAGCATAATTCTTCTGAGTCCATGAACATGGTTAGGTGTGGATATGTTTTCCTAGTTAGTACTTCTGGTGTCAACATTAGGACCTGCAGCTGGCACCTATAAGCGTTAATCCCAAGTACTTAACTGTTAATTTTGTGGATTTAGGATTTTTTCAGTAGTTGAAGGAGGGAATTGGGCATTTCTACTGGAAAGAAATACTGGGGGAGAAATGGGATATGCACTCACGTAGGAAGGATAAGGGAGGGTGAGAGAAGAGGGAATTACTGATCCTTCAATGCAATTGTTAATTTTCAGGCTGTTTGGGCAGAGGGACTGCTGTGTGCATTGTGTTTTTACGAGCTGTCTCTGGCAGTAGTGAACTACGTTGTGAGGCTTGGGAAAAGCTAGGAGTGCCTCCCTCCTACTCAGCTGTTACCACACCCACACGCTTGCAAAATAGAAAAGTAAACATGAAAATGCAGTCCCTGTAGGAGCAGTTATCTGTTTGTGCAAGGCTTCTGCCTACAGTCAGTTGCAGGTTGAAGGTGATGCATAATTCTAGACACAATACACAAATAGTGGTGAGTGGATTTCAGCCTTCTCTGTGGAATGTGTGTAACATGCCATACTTTATCAGGTTTTGATATAACATTAATATTCTKCTAGTTCAGTACATTAAGTACTAGATATGCTGCTAATTGTCTTGATGTTATTTTTCTTATGCTTTTATCAAAGAACTGATCTACAGTCTGTAAGAGTTCACCAAAAGCAGCTTGTATGTATAACTTCTCTCTGAGAATCCCTAGATTTCTCTTCTTCTAAAATGTCTGACAAAGGATTTCAGARYGATTTCCTTGAGGTGTGTATTTTTTAGATTGTATTCCAAGRTTTTGTTATTATTGTTATCATCTTTGGTTCACATTCAGAGGTTTTGAAACAATATCCTTGGTTACAGAAACAACAGCCTAAACATGATGTAGAATCAGTTGTAATCCTGGGCTATCATTCTACATCCATTTCCTTAGTGCCAAGTCAGCTTCAGATCCTCCATTTCCTTGCTTCACTCATGTTCCCTCACAGGGCTTTGTCTCCTCTATTAGACCTGTTTGACTGTCAGCACAGCTGCCCTCTGAGCACCATCTGTGAAATTACCCAGCCCATGAACCTCCCAAATGAAAGTGCACTTTGGCAGGCAATGTAAACCTTGGTGCTGGTTTAAACTGTAACCTCGTGGTGGTATATATCTGAACCAACATAACTTTGAGTGTAATGTCTGTTTGAAGAGTTGTAAGGCTTTTTAACAGAGTTTTCTGACAAGGTGTCAGAGACATATTGCTCTAGTTTCTTTTTGCAGGATGAGGTATATAAGCTAAATATTTTTTTTATATGTTYATACTGGCAACTCTGTGTGTCATCAGAAAGTAAACTCCAGTTGCATAGATTTATAAAGTGTCAGTCTGTCRAAGCCAAAACTTTGTGGTAAGTGTGTTAGTTGGGAGGCAGGAGAATTGTGCTAAGCCTAATGGGGCTTAATGACTCTTTTGAGGTGGGTTTTTTTCTCACTGGGGTACACAGAAATTAAAAAACAATATTGTTTTGTCCTACTGAACAGGGAAAAGAGTTTTATATTCAAGGGATTTTTTTTTTTCAAATCGGATGATTGAAATAAAACGCAACGTAATTGTTACTTGTTTTAAGAAGGAATTTATGCATTTTTCAGCCGYCCTCGAATCATTTGTGGATTTCAACTTGAAAAGAATATCAGTTCAAAATAGGGAAGATATTTGACCATCTTTTTTTTTTAATCTGTTTGATAATGACTTACCTTTCTTGATTTTTTTCCCCAGTTATTTGTAGTAGATGTCCAGACTGGTCAAATTACCAAGATTCCTATTCTGAAGGATCGTGAACCCGGCATGGTGAACCAGCAGGGATGTGGCATTCATGCCATTGAGATCAACCCTTCAAGGACCCTCCTGGCCACAGGTGGAGACAACCCCAACAGTCTTGCAATTTATCGTCTGCCTACACTTGATCCTGTCTGTGTGGGAGATGTAAGTGGCAGTATCTGGGGAAAGTTTATTCTGTCACYTAAAGAGTTACTGCTTTGAAGCGTGTATGGTCAGAGCAAGGTTTTGGAGTCTTGTGATGGAGAGTGGCTTCAGAAAGCCTGGAAACATTTCTTATAGAGCTGTCATTTTTGTTATGGTATCTTAAATATAAGTGAAGACTTCAACATGGGAGTGGGTTCTTAGGACTTTGAGTCAGATTTCTTCCTCACCTTCATTCAGGTCTACTTCAGCTTACTTTTTAGCACCAAAAATGTAACAAAATCATAAACGTCAAAGTCTAATTGTGGTGATGACATTTGAACCTAGTTACTAAGAAATTAAAACAATGTTGCGGGTTGTTAAAACTTTCCCCTTATGCAGCACAGCTTGTGGATRTATTATTCCAGAGGTAGAACTTGGCTTTGAAGATTAGTTCTAAATCAGTGGCTTGTGGCAGTTTAATAGACCCTGGTACTGGTTTTATTTCTGAAACATCCTGAGACCTTGTTAAAATAGCCTATCTTTAAAAAAACAAGCTGGAGGATATAACGGGGTCCTGTGAGCACTTCCCTATCATTTCTGCTTTTTATTCAGGACTTCACACAGAGGTTAACTGCAGCWGCAGAGGTCAGTTCAGAGTTTCTGCAGTAGCAGATAACCAGCTGCAGYAAGACTTGACTGAAGATTTGCGTGACTTGTTCTTCATGTCTGTGACTTTTTAGCTTTTTGAACAGAACTAGAATCTTACAGACTTTTCTTCACCCTACAAGTTTTTCTCATTTTAAAGAATAGAGTCTGGAAATATTTATCTGTCAGCCATATATTGTAAGCATAAGTTTTTGTTTCTTGTTGGATATGCATTTGAAGTAAAAAACCCACATACTTTACAGAAGAATCTTGCTTTCAAAATGGAAGATCTCAGAATTCTGGAGAGTTTTAGGCTTGAGATTAATTTGTCCATGGTCAGAGGCCTGTTTTTCTAGCACCTGATTGCTCTTTATTAATTGCACACTTCAGAACCAGAAAAGTTAAAATCACTGTTAGGTACTTAAACTGCTCCAGCTTGATATGGGAATCTTCTCAGAAAGTTTTGAATATAGGTGTGTCCTGAGTTYATACTAAAAATCAAAGTGAAGAATACTTGTCTGTTTTGAGATTACTGTTGAGTATAATGACACAGGAAAACGTGTCTTTCTTCTTTTAGGATGGACACAAAGATTGGATATTTTCAATTGCGTGGATCAGTGATACTATGGCTGTTTCTGGTAAAGTCATATTTTCTCCCTWGATTTTTTTTTTGTTTGTTTTTRAAACTTTCCTTTTCTCTAAATTTTATTCTGATGTACAACATGTGGTAAGTGTTAGGAAAGCTCCTTTGTCAGRGCATTCTAAACCACTAGGAACTACACAGGCTGTTTAAACAATTCTTGGACTTATTTGTTGTAGGGCCTTAGTCTAGATCTGATTTTTCAGTATTAGAATATTACTGTGTTTCTCGTGAGGGGATGTTTGAACAGTAGTTACAGGAGAAGATTCTACATAAAAGGAGTAATTTCAAGAGGAGTGTTGATTAATAACTTTTGAATACTTTGGGTCAATATCAGTTTCCTAAAGTCATGTGAAAGACTAATCAATGAAAATTGAGTTTGTCAGGCTCTCTGTAGTGTTGTGTGTGTACCTATGCACTTATGCTATGGCACTTAATACAGAAGGCTGTAACAGAGAAATTAGTTACTGACTTCTTAGTAACTAAATTGGATAAACAGTGTAACCTCATAAAGGATACTGTCATAAAGGCAAAAATAGTAATGATGTTGCATTAGTTTAGTAGTTTACTACCATTCTGTGCTGTCAGGCTATAGTATTCTGTACACAGTTGTCAAGCTGTAGGTGACAGAAAATCATAACAGTCTCGTATAAAAGTCACATATTTGAATTGTTGGTTTAGTTTAATAGGACTTTTTTTTTCCGAACCCAAGAAGATAATCCTGGAATTTCCTTTTTGAATTTAATATAAAAGTTGATCTTTGCACATCTGTACCTCAGATATCTACAAAAACTCTCCCACATTCAACCTAGTAAACTTGAAGAGAACAGCACAGATGATTACAGATGTCCAGGGCAAAGATAAGTACCTGATAGAATGCACAGCATGTGAGATTGAACTATGTTGACTCAATATTTTCTAAAGGTCAGGGGTGGATGTGTGAGTGGAAGACTGCCGTGTTGTCTGCTGTGTGCTTATAGCAGGCAGGATGTAGGTTCCAGTCTCCACACTCATACACCAGGGAAAACTTGTTGAAAGCAATTAACAAGTCTGGTTGCTAAACTGAATGCTTCAGAATTCACGGGTGACCCTAATTAAAAGATAAAAAAGACAGCTAACCTCTGACATGGTTTTAATTTTACAGATTTCAATTACATCTGTATTTTAAAGTGTGGAGCAGAAATATTTGAATTCCAGACACTAAGGATATACCTATTATTTTTATGKCAAAAGCTCCAAATGTGATGAATAATTCCCAGGATAGCATGGGCTTAGGGTAGCAAATGATACTCTGCTTGGGTTCAGGGCTAACCAGTTGAGCAACATACACAGACTTTTTCCCCTGCCAGGGCCATTATGAGGAACAGCTTCCTCTGAAAGTATGTCAAGGTGTTTAGTAATTTTACTGCTGAGTATTCAGCCTCTGTAACARACAAGATTAGGTGCTATTAAAACCAATGGCATGTAATGGAGGGCAGGATGTTGCRCTGCTGATTGTTATGCATGTGCCATTAGGATGGTCCTTTTTGTATTTGTCTCTAGTAGGTCATAATGTCAAGTGCCTGAATCTATCTGTGGAGTAGCAAAGGCACCTCTGCTGTGCTGGACCACCTCTATTGCAACAAGACRTTTTGCTTTACTGTCTTTGCTGCTTCTTCCCTATGAGGTAGCGAAGCTGATAAATTTAGTAGCCTCATACAGATATATAGTCTTTTCTGGCATCTTCATTATGAATTTCTTTTGACAGAATTTTTCACATTATGTAGGGAGGAAATTGTGGAACCTGTCAAATCTGTCACAGCTGACTTAGATGGAAGTGAGTTGCCTGAACACCAGAAGGGATGTGTATATAAGGCCTTTATATAGATTAGATATAAGGATTAAGCCTGTGCTGATATGTGAACCAAAGACATCCAACTTTCTTCATCCAGTGTTCTTAAGATTAGTGATTCATATTTTGGATTAATATCTTCAAACTCAGTAGAAGAATAAAATGAGTTCTGCTTGTTTAACCTAAGTTACATTCTTTAAGGAAGAATTGGCCCAGGTTTTAGCAAAATAGTTTTTCTAATAGATTTCATTCAAAGTGGTACAAATTGTGATTTGAAATAATTGTTTCTATACAACTCACTAATGGGTGTGTACTCAGCCATAAGAATACTGATAGAAATCAAGTAAACCCAAATTTACATAAATGCAGCTGAGCTTTTTTTTTCTTTTTGAGATTTTTCTGCCTTGGTTTAATAGACTTTTTACCAAGGCTGAGAATGACAGGCTCAGGCTGAACCTGTAGTGTTCTGAGTTCATTCTACGTATGAGATGACGATGATTGTTACACAGGGTTGTGGGTRTTAAGTGGAAAACATGAGATGGTCTAGCTGCTTGAAAACCATGTGGACAGTTGACAATGAGTTCGTAATATCATGAAATTTATAGCTCAGTAAAATCATGCTTTTGTTAGTAATAATTAYTATATAGGCACTAACAGCATATTCTGTTAGATTAAACTAAGAGTATCCTTAATTCTTTCTGCCCTATTAATTATTCCTTTTATTTGAGGAGTTCAGTATGGATTGGACTATTTATATATGGACTATTTGATCAGGTTCCCGGGATGGTTCGATGGGTCTCTGGGAAGTCACAGAGGATGTGTTGTCCAAAAGTGATGCCAGGCATAATCTGTCTCAAGTTCCTGTCTATGCCCACATAACACAYAGTGCTCTGAAGGATATTCCCAAGGAGAACACCAATCCTGACAACTGCAAAGTCCGAGCATTGGCTTTCAACAATAAGAACAAGGTCAGTAAAATAAGCAAGACAGTTGAGAAGTCCTAAAACTGTCGTTGTGTATTAGAAAAAGTAAAAAGTATGGAGAAGCAACGTTTTTGCTATATGTTTTTGCTAATATGTTTCTACCTGATTCTTTTGCRTCCTTGTCTTGTGAGAAGTAGTCATATCTGCTTCTGCCCCAAGGGAATGGAAGAGCCCAGAAGAAAAAAAAACTAACAACTCCAGACATTTTTGAAGGCACAGTTTTCTGTGGGTTTGATTTTAGATTTGCATCTTAAGCAAGGGAGTAAAGGCATATTTACAAGAAGCAGGTAAAGAGCCAAAGCATCTCATGCCACTTGAATTCCRTTCTTGAATGTTCTTTCTGCTTTCCTTTGCCCTGTGTCAAGTCCAGCTAACATTTAGCAGTTCCTGTTTTGATGGCTGAATCCTTTCTGGATTGCTCAACAGGTGAGGTGACTGATTCACAGGGCAGGCTCTAGTTCTTGCTTTGGGGTTATTTTGTTGGTATTTGACAAACAGTAAATGTCAACCTCTCCCATCCTGATCTCCTGTTATTACTAGTGGGAGTAGCAATTCATCCTCCACYACCTTTTTTTCTCCTTGCCCTCAAAGAACAGAAAAGCTCTGAAGCAAAGGTGGCTGTGCTGTTGGAAGCACAGTGCTCCTGTAAGCTTTATTTTTCACTATAGCTGTTAGTTAGTCCTCTGTGATGGAGACTTTGTGTAGMGTTTTCAGTAGAATAGTGCCAGACATTTGCTTCAGGGTTGGAATCAGTGTTGGACCTACTGAAGAGAATTGTCAACTCTAGATTGTATTGTCTAATAATTCATTATTTGATTGCCTAGCAAGATTTAGGGTTTTGAAAGTTATTATTATTTACTCTTACTAATTTTTATTCTACTTGGCACCGTTTGTATTACATTCTATAAAGGTAAGTTAAAAATGAAAATTTGTCTTGATAGAGCCTTTACAGGATTATGGATGAGTTYAATCCAGGGTGTGCAGCCTGCCTAGTGGAGAATGTGAGTGAGTGTGTAGAGTTATCTGTAATACAGAAACTAACTCTCTTATTTTTTCCTTTTAATAGGAGCTGGGGGCCGTGTCCCTGGATGGGTATTTTCATCTTTGGAAAGCAGAGCACACACTATCAAAGGTGCTTTTCTGTTTTTGGAATTAAACTTCAAGAACTGCAGGCTGTTCACTATTCTTCATCTCCTTCAAATATTTGAAGCGCATCAGAGTTCGAAAAATGCTTAAAAGTTCTATGTAAAATAAAATGTCCTAAAATTTGGAGCTTGAAGGGGAGAGAAACTCTTCACTCCCCTTATTTTGGAGGGCAGGGAGCATTCTTAACTTTCTGCCAGTTTTGGGTTAGTGAACTATTGTGTAGAATGCAGTGGATGCTTGATTAGTAGAATTCATAACGGAAGTTGCACTTATTTAAGTGTAATGGCAGATCACACYCAGTCTTACCTATGCTAGCAAATGYGACAGGCTTTTTCAGCCAAGAGCTGGTGTCTCTGTGTGCCTGCTAAAGAAGTAGCAGCAGCTGAGAAAGATCTAAAACAATTTATCAAAATGTCAGTTTCTCTTGGCTTCGGCCTTTATTGTCTCAGATTGCTTCAGGAAGGCATCACTTTCAGCTTTTTCCCTCTGGGTCTTTTTTTCCACCTGTCTTTTGTGTTTTTTCTCCATGCAACTTTGTAAAACACAGCTTACAAAATTGCTCTGTTAACACCTTACTCTTGTAACGGGTTGATTTTTATTTTTTCTGTTTCCAGTTACTTTCCACAAAGTTGCCATACTGCAGGGAGAACGTGTGTTTGGCTTATGGTCAGGAGTGGTCAGTGTATGCAGTAGGATCACAGGCACATGTCTCCTTTCTGGATCCGAGGCAGCCTTCTCACAATGTTAAATCCGTCTGTTCCAAAGAACGAGGCAGTGGTAAGAAACCCATCAAAGGTGCTTCAAATGGTTTGCTTGCAGAAGTAGCTGTTAAAGCTGTAGTAAGTCAAGCTTCTATTAAGCAGGAAGGGCTATTCCAGTCATCAGCTATATAACTAGCAGTGTATGTATAGGCTTGGCTTTTGTGACAGCATACCTTGAGCAACCAGCAAACGAAATGGGACTGGTTCCGAAATCTAATGAAAGGCAACATCAGGGCCTTAGTGATCAACTAAATTGTAAACCGTCCAAATATTACTGAACTTCTAAAAGTGTGCATTTTTCTGCTGTTTTTTAATTGGATCTTATTCTATTTTTTTTTTTTACCACCTCAAAGCAAATATAATCTTTTTACAATWACTTATATTGTTCTTGCATTTTTCTCTATGAATTAGAAAAAAGGCATGTTGTCTGCTCTTTGCTACCATATTGTGAGTCTGTGTTGTGAGGGAATGCTTGCTTCTTAATTTTAAAGCCATGAGTGAGACTCCTGATTTTCACTGTGATTTGAATGCTATTTCCTTGTCTTATATGAATGCAGTGTGTCCAGTTGAACCTTACACCGGGGCCAGGCCTGAGGGCTTGCAGAGTGCATGGTTCCATAAACTTCTCTCCATATCCTTTACTGTCAGGCATGAGGAGGCACTGTGCCATATTAATTCCAGACTAACCAGGTGCAGTCCTTATTTAGCTTGTCTCTGGGCTTCATCTCTTTATCAAGCAAGTAATCAGAGGAGGATGTATGTGTTGGCAAAGATTAGGAAGCTTATTTATGTGGTTACTGAATGGTGGTGTTTAGATCAGTGTCAGATCTTTGCTGCTTTCACATATGGGAGAGGAGTCTGTAATGTCAGGAGAAGACACCAGCAAGACCTCTTGTCCTGACTTGCTTTCCATGAGGATTCTGTCCAGGTCCTGACCTTGATTTTGGAGTTTAGTCCCCAGTGGTGGCTGGTGGCTGCAAGTTTCTGCCTCAAGTATGTCATGCATGTTGGGGAGTAATGCATGTAGGGAGTATCTCTAGGACACTTTCTGTTCAGGACTGGAGAAAGCCTTTGTTCAGGGCTGTTTTCTGTTCTGTGGAGTAGATTCATCTTTTTATTTGGTGTGGTGGCAGAGGCATGTAAATAACTAATTCCCAAGATACTGAGTGTTCCATTGTTTCGATTGAGCTCCCTGGGACTTGAAGTGGTGCACCACCTCTAGGAAGCAGGCTCCTCATTGATGTGTGCACTAAAATTTTAGTTCAAGTGTTTTCAAGTGCTACCTGAATGTGCTTTAAATATACAAGTGCACCTGTGGGATGTGATAAGTCCACTTTTACTTGAGTTCACTTCTGTTGTACACAAAAGTGGGTCAAGGAAAGGTGGAGGATTACTAAGGCTGGAGCTGAGGCTGGCTTTCCTCTGGTGTAACCTTGTCTGCTCTACAGAAGAAGGTAGTGAATGCTTTTTAGTGCATCTTGTAAGTGTTGCTTTTCTTAGCAGCTGTACAGGGAAGTGCAGGCCTTGAACTGTAGTTCTTGATTCACAAAAGCAACTGCTCTCTGCATGGCTGTACTGCAGAGCCATGTTGCGTGCKCTTAATGTTCCTGAAGGCAGCAGACAAAGCTTTTGTGGCACAGATTCTGGGAATTCTCCTTGTGTAAGACATGCCACTGCATCTTCATTTCCTTCTGGGGCATGTAGACCTCTTCTGCAGCTTGAGAGTGAAGCTCAATACACTTACCACAGGTGGTAGAGGGCTAGGAGTGCAGGAGAATTTACTGTGATTGGTTGTCGGCACAAGTTGTGCTTTAGCTTAATGGAAATGATTAATCTGAAGTACTTCAGYCCCTTAGGAGACAATTTGTTTGTGAAARCCTGTTCTAAATATCCTTCATAGCAGTGGGTACATCATGGTACTTCAGTTAATCTCTTTGGTTAGGGAAAGATCCACAGTTGTTCTGCATTTTATAGCTTTTTATTAATAAATTAATTGAAAAGCAAATGCCATCTGCATTCATACTCCATCACCTGTTTGTGTGAAGTATTCTCCTGGGTGGCTTGTCAAGAGCACTTCTGGAGCAAAAATAAGAARAGGTCCACTCCTGTGCCTTTCTCCTCTTATCCAAGTGATCACTGTTGCTGACTGCAGAGRGTTTAAAGCTTTCTGTGTGTCTTTGCCGGAGCCAGGCCTGTGTGACAGAGGTGGGGGGAAGGTCTTCAGCTGCTTTAAGTGCATTTCTAGCTCTCTGAATTAAAGCAGAGATTCTCATATGCATCTTATAATCTACTTCAGCAATGAGACTCGAAGAGTGGTTTCTTACCTGTTAAGCCTGCAGCTAAGACTTCATCTCACATTTGGAGCAGGACATAGTGGCCTTGCCTGTTCTAAGTGTGTGTCATGAATTCTGGTGGCTGTGCATGTCAATCCGTTGGCAGAGGTAGAAGGATGAGGACATGTTTCCTGTTAGAACTCTGTACAGAGAGGAAGGGGAAACTCCCTGGCTGCATCCACAGCTGCTGGTTGTCTGCTGGCATGTGCACTGCTGAGGATATTCCAGGATAATAAAGTTGTGTGATGTTCAGCCTGGTTTGGTATGGTGACATCACTTGACACAGGGATGTAGCTGGCATAACTCGCTCTTTTCCTCTCCAGAATGCTTGCTTAGGCTGTAATTCAGTACTTTAAAGAGATCCTAAAAAGGCCCTAGGGTTTGTAACCTGGTATCCTGTCATGAAGGAAGGAGAAGCATAGATGTGGTGGTGTTTGAGCTGCATGGAAGAGTTGTTTGGAGTAGAATACTTGAACAGAACAGTATTTGCACAATAAATAGAGATAAGATGACAGGACATATTGTAAATTCCTACATACAGAATCTCCCCAAGACTAGTTCCAAGGGATTTCATTAGCTAAGACTTCAAATTTAGATTTTGTGRAAACAAAATGTACTCCTTTTGTTCAATGTAATGACATAACTGAATTGTACTAAAATGTTTAGTTTGAACTGTACCTTCCTATGTACTAAAATGTTTAGTTTGAACTGTACCTTCCCATGGTACTGGTGGAACATGGTGTTTRGATTGCAGGATTCCTATTCYGTTTTCATTCCTGGCTGAAGTGCTRAAAATTCCAGCTMCTAAAAATAAGGTGTACTTGTTTGAGAGCATTTGAGTGGGGATCAGGCTCATAAATGGTTTTGACGCTATCTTAGCAGTAAAGTGACTAGTGATTATTATGGTTATACTTGCCTAGCCTGTTAATCAGCACGATGCAGTTGAGGCAGCTGGGACTGATTTTTCTCAGATGGTCACTTACTGCAGCTTAGCAGGTAATTAGAGAAGATGTTAGCTGGTGGAGAAAAACAGAATGATGTTCTTCCCTCTGTCTGCTGTCCTGTTTCACTCTTGGTGTGTTCACTTAAAGGCTTGTGGCAGACAGAACAAAGGTACTCTTTACTCTAAATGGCTTATCTGGGACACCTAAGGCCTGGTGAGGATGAAGCTTCTTACTGTGCACCGTTGGTGTAGCCAGTGGCCTCAAGGAGTAGGGCACTAGTGTTTATGCAATCGAAGCTGCTGTTTCAAGAACATCAGTGGGATTTGTCTGCACTGCACTGAAAACTTGAGTGTTGTGGAGAATACTAGGAGGTAATATTAGCCATGAAACAACAGCACTGCAGAGCCAAAGCATCCCTCTTCCTTACTGCACCGTCTGTCCCTTCTCTGTTCGACAGGTATCCGCTCAGTGAGCTTCTACGAGCACATCATYACTGTGGGGACAGGGCAAGGGTCCTTGCTGTTTTATGATATCAGAGCCCAGAGGTTTCTGGAAGAAAAGCCCCCCCATGCCTGCTATGGGCAGAAGCAGAAATTAGGAGGAAGTGAAATTTTGAAGTTGACAACCGGCAAAGGCTGGCTGGTAAGTAGTTAGCAGCTGTAGGAAACACAGTATATACAGGAATTGGCATTGGGCCAAATCGTGTTCACCTAAATAWTAACTAATAATGAAGAGCAACAAGTGCTGCAAAATTGTTTTCTATAAAAGCTTTATGCAAGGACACTGAAGGTTATTTGCTTGAGTGCAGGGCATAGTGACTGTGGTTCTTTTGCACTGATTCTTAAATTAGATTTGATATCTTTATATTTTCAAATGTAATCTAACTTCTAGTTTTCAGAATCTCAAACAGAAAATAAATTTTCTTTGTCTAAAACCATGGTAATCTAATGTGGTACTTGGAGTAAGACAGTTTTAATTTAATCATATGCTATTTTAGAAAATGTGGCTTCCTAAGGTAATGCCATGGCAGACACCTGASTTTGGTTTCCTGTATGTTATCATGAAACAGTTAATGGCTTTGTTTAACTTAGCTCCATTATCTGTCATATCACTGCAATATCTCTACCTTTACCKCCCCCTTCCAATGTTTGGCCTAAAAGTTCTCAGAAAAAGCTTCAGGACAACTCTGGTATCTTTTAGTGTACCTGTATGAAGCTGCAGGATTGTTACGAGGAAATACCTCTTCTTAGAGGTTCCCAGAACCACCTTCTGCTTTTGTGAAACAGGATTTTGGGGGTGTTTGGCAACAATAACGATCTAAACTTTCCTTTAACAGAGCCATGATGAAACCTGGAGGAATTATTTTTCTGACATAAATTACTTCCCAAATGCTGTTTACACCCACTGCTACGACTCGTCTGGAACGAAACTCTTTGTGGCAGGAGGCCCTCTTCCATCAGGACTTCATGGGAATTATGCTGGTCTATGGAGCTAATGATAACTCTTTATTGTGATGCAAATCTTTACAGAGATTTCCACTTTTCTTTTCCTTTTTTTAACAACAAAATTGTGTGATGCCATTGATTTCCTGATTTAAACACAAGTTATTTTTTGGCAGAGTTTTCTGTCAAACTGTCTCCAACAGTTTTGTACATCTTTTTGAACCAGGTTTTTGCTTTAACCTCCTTGATCCTTTATATGGAGGCGTTTTGAAGTCCTTTTTTATTGTATTTACTCCAAATGACTCTTCCCCCCATTTAGGCTGTCTTGGCCATGTGCCCCCTCCTCTACTTTGCTGTGAGGTAGGATTCCTTTCTTATAGAGTGGTTGCTCCTGAGCTTTCTGTGAAAGTCTCGGGGCTGCATGTATGCAGGTACTTTGTGTCAGTTACATTACCTGGAGTGAGGACTACTTGTAATTAAAAAATATTAAAAATATTTATAAAAGATAAGCTAAACTACTTTATCTGCAGAGCCTGACCCTGGCCTGGGTTGATCTTATTTTTTAAAAGTACAAGTCTAATGACACTGTTTATACATAGAGGGATATGGTGATTTTAAGCTGTACTGACTGGAGCCCAGGGATGGATTCCCTAGGGTATTGCCCATCAAATCCAAAGTGCAGGAGTTTTAAAAAGTGCATTTGTGTTTGAATGGTAGTTTTCAGCAGTGCCAGAAGCAAAAATGATCTGTTTCTTCACTGCCTATCCCAGGTATCAGCTTGCACAACTGGAGTTTGTATAGGCTGTTCTGCAGCATGGCTGTTGCAGGGTGACATTACATTGAGGGCTGCAGAGGTGCTGAGAGGAAATGGGGGCTAATTATTCAAAATGAACTAAATCTGTCTGTTGTCCAGATGAAACATAGTTTCTGASTATGCTGTTAGGGTAGCTTTTAAGCTTTTCATAAACTGCCTAAAACCTAGGACCTTTTTTATCCCAGGTTGTGGAAATTATTCCCTTTTTTGCTGTTTTGGTTGGCCATCTGCTCAAATAAGCCAATGGAATAAATAAACTATTTTTTTTCTCCAAGATTAAAGAGTGCATCTTGGACTTTACTAATGCAAGCGAGAAGCTTTCCATGAAGGAGGATAGCTTGGTGTTACCTCACTTTTGCACTAGCATATGCTGTAGGAGAGGCTCAGGCTTTTCCCAAACCCCCTGCTGCCTTCTGCATTCAGACTCCCTCCAACTTCACCTGGGACTGGGAGGGGAGAACAGGTCCAATGCTCTCAGTCCAGCTGTGAAGTGTGTGCATCCCAGGGTRATGGTCTTGCCCAATACACAGCTAAAATGCAAGACTCCTGTGTATTCCTCCTTTTGGCAGGCACCAAGATCTCAGCTTGTTACTGATGCCTGTTTCCTCTGCTGGAATTAATGCCTTTCCGCTGACATTCATGGAGCAGTGTGCCTGTACCTCAAAACTTTGGTGCCAAAAGGACAGTTGGTTGAAGCTGAGAGAAAGGACAAGGCTGGCACATGCTCTGTTCTCCTGTTTTGTGGGAGATCAGAGCTACAAGTGCAGTTCCTGCCCACAGCCCAAACATAGTCAGCATAGGTCTTTGCAGTCTCTCTCATCTTCATACTCAGTATGAAGTGAGTGTCAGGCATAGGATCCAGTTGGTATGCATATGTGGRTGGAAATCCTACAAGGAGCAGTTCCCTCTCATCAGGGTGGAAATCCTGGCACAAGAAGAGCTCTCTCCCAGGTGTGCACCTGTCCCAGAAGTATAATTTGCACTGAGCACCAACACAGGCACTTCACTAACAGATCATCTTCCGGTGTTTCATAACTGTACTTCCTATTGTGATCTCATTGCTTAAACTTCATCAGTTCAAAGTACTGTGTGTATGGCTAGTCAGGCTATTCTCTGAAAAGGGCAAATTGCATAGCATGGGGTAGCTGCTTTGGTTATTTTAGGGGTTTAGAAAAGTGGAAGTATACAAAGAAAAACAAGTCTTGGAGAAGTATGGCAGGATTTGTAATTCTATTGCGAGTGTGTATGATCATTCTGTCCCAAGGACCATGTTCTGCTTTGTTCTTTTTTTTAACTGGGTTTGGTTTGAAGTTTGTTGGGTTTTTTTTTTAAGAAACTAGGCACTTGAGTCTATTTGAGTGACTCCTACTTCAGTTCTGCTGAAGTAACATTTAGTAGCTGAGCATTTAGTGTCAGTAGTGCCAAAGGAAAACTCCTGTTCTGGAAATTCTAGCCCTGATCATGATCTATTAATTGAAGCATATTTTGGGCCATGATGATGGGAAAAACCTATTTTTGTGGACAGAGATTCAGCCTTCAAACACACAGGCTAATTTTTCTGCAGTTTCCCAAGTTATTGAAGAGGCACCACTGAAAACTGTCCCTTCCTGCTGACTCTAATCTCTAAAAGTACCTCAGTATGAACTCCTAAAGCTTGGTAATGTGACTGCCCTTTTCCTCCTTTTTTTTCTGCATAGGAAGCTCTGCACAATTCTCAGATGAATCTGGACAATGATGTAAAATGCCTCAAGTCTCACATGCTTCTGTGTATTCTGGTTTCAGGATGCTTTCATGCAAAAATAACTTCTCATAGGAAGGGAGCCATCTTTGTTGCTGTATGAAAATCCCCACCAAAAAACTGGAACCAAACTAGATAATGCTTCAAGGACACTAGCAAATTGTGCCAGAGATAACACAATTTCTAGCCAGTTTCAGTGGTTTTAAATGCTTAAAGCAATACAAATGTGAAGTTTTCAGAATGTTTTTGTGGTTGGTCATACATCACTTTTGTTCCAATCACTGTTAGAAATTGAGGCAGAGAAAGGTGATGATGATTTTCCAAATGTCCAAAGATGAGTGATAGGAGAAAAATTCCATTTTTCTTGTCTTTGATTTTGTTGCCCAGTTGGATTAGATATCTGTTGAAATTAGGATCATGGTTAGAAATGCATAATTTCCCATGCAAGTACACTAATGAATGGCTGCACAGCAGGGAGTCTCCAGGCTCTGAAAAGAGGTGAGTTTGCAATCCTTTTTGTTCAAGAGGCCATATGTCCCTGCAATGGACTGAGCTCAGTCTGCTGACTGCACCTCAGTAGCTTCTTGAACAGCTTGCTGTGTGCTGCTGAGACCCAGTCACACGCATATATTCAGATCATTTTAGCTTCTCCACTGTTTCTTCAAGATTTTCCTTCCTTGGTCTTTCCTGCCTACTAGAATGGTTTGTTTGGGGTTGTCTCCTTTAACCCAAATCGTACCAAACTTTGCTGTAGAGATACTGTCCTTGCAGAGAWGACTTCCGTTGAGCAGGAACTGGCTTGCTGACATTTTGTCAACCTGTGCTCAAGACCTTCAGTTTGCTTTATTTTTACTGGGTAGAAGGTGAAGGCTGGCTCAGGCTGTTGAACTGGGCAGTTTTCCTTGTACGTGTTTGATATGATTAGACAGTAGCAGTCTGTTCTGGGTGGGGAACATGCTCTGGTTTATCTCGCTTGAAAGAGAGAAAGGAACTTTCAGTGTAACATGCCTTCTGACTGGCTGTTATCGGCTTCTCAGTTATACGGAATCTTCTGAGCTACCAGGGAGTGTAGAAGGCAGTTCATTTTACGGCTCAGCTCTTTTCAGTACACTTACATGTTAATTTGGGTATCWTTAGGTATTACATTTCCAATATTCRTAACAGGTAACCAAACTAGTGAGTCAGATATGGGTTTGGTAATATCTAGCATGTAAATATTGGGTAGCAACTCGTAGCATCCAGTAACAGCTGGATSTTACCTCATGRGACATTCCTGAGGAATCAGAAGCTMCTTTYCAGTGGTGCCTGAGCACAGCAAAAAGTGTTGTGCGCATCTTCTTCACTAAACATCTTATTCCTGTAATTGCTCCGGCTTCCTCCCTTGTACTGTCAAGTTTTGTAGGGAGAATTCCTAGTGCTCTCCTCTGGTGCTTTCTGGGAYTGCAGTAAAGAAGTGAGTCCATTTGTTTGGTTCCCTCATCAGTACTGCTGGTGTTAGTTTGAGGTGAGTAAATTACCAAAGAGTAGTTGTTAGTAGGTTTATGTTCCTAGTCTCAGTTGTTCATTTTACACACAGATCCATTTTTAAGATCATTGCTGACCTTAGCCTGTTTACTGAGGTTACACATATTGTGGGTGACTCTTGTGACTCTCTTCATGAGAGGAACTTATGAATTGYATTAAGGGGTTTATATTTGCTGCCTCCATTTTAGGGTTTTGTCAGCTTTTTATATATAAAAGATTAAGATACATGGGGATCATTCTCCTCCAGAATTTCATCCTATTCCTTCACCTGAGCACTTGCTTTGTATATTGCTTGCAGCTGCRAAGTTAACATTAAATTGATGATCCAGCTACGTCCAGTGGTGCTTTGATGTCTTAATTTGTGCCACTCAGCTGAGAGGCATTTACAGGCCTTGTGAACTGCTGTGCCTCACCTGGTGCAGGTGTGAAACAAAGCAGGCTTGCCTAGACYCTTCACCGAGGTCAGTTGTTTGCTTCGTTTGCAAGAAACCAAGGACAGGTGGGCTGTCAGTTACTGCATGTGGGAAAGCAGCAGCATCTTTCAGCAGCCAGGTGGTTTTAGTGGTCTGATAACCCTTGTTTTCAATAAACCTGATTTTCCAAGGTGTCTGGTATCTTCTTAATTAGCTTCTTTTTCAATTGCTGCTATGACCGAATTACTGGAATGGGGTACAGCTTGTTCCTAAGGAATGCTGTTGCAGAGCTGTGTGTGATGCAGGTGGAGTTGATCCTCTGGCTAGCCCATGCTGAGCCAGGGACTTGTGATCTAATAGGCACAAMATTTTTAGGTTAAAGACAAGTGAAAATCCCTGTGTGTCCTGCTGGCCTCACCACAGTCTGAGCCCATGGTGTGACCACAACTTAAAATGCATTTCTGAGTGTTGCAGTGTCCTCAGTAAGTTATTTGAAAGTCTGAAGGAGACACCCAGGACAAGAGAGAGTGGAAAAGAGAACACAGCCAAATCTTGTGTGAGGTGCTCTCCTTTTTCACTGTACGTGAGCACTTTGTGTGGTGAGGATGAGCAAGGGACACCAGAGAAACAGTGAAAGCTGAACAGTGTTTGGTGTGGYTCTCGGGACTCCTGAAGAATTTAAAAACTAGAGGGTGTATGTGAAAGCTTAACAAGAAACATCTTTGAGAGATCAAGTATATATCCATGACTTTCTTGTTTTCTCTATATTAATTTTCAAGGATAAAATTAGGAAGTATCGTTTTGCTTGTGATGCTGAGTTTCTTCATGAAAACCACATGGAACTTGGCTAATTAAAAGAAACCTCTTGCAGAAAGGAATCTTCCAATTTCCTAACAGTCTTTGCCACTAGTATCCTTCTGAGAGCAGTATGGTCTAAGAAAGTGCACAGAGTTTTAAAATGGAGTGCCAGKGCTGGCAGAGTTGAGAAAATGTGGGCTGTCTGACTGTTTCAATACCCAGAAAACCACCAACACTTGATTGTATATGAATTGTGGTCATTGTACTGAAACTGAGAGSGTGTATAAAACCTCTTGCAACATAATGCAATGTCTTTAGTCCTAGATTGTTTTGAATTYATAATCTTGCCTTTAGGACAAAAAGTTTAGGAGTCAATACATTGTTTTCTTAGGAACTGCTTTTCTAGACTCCCTTACTAAAAGGGAAATTTCAGGTGCTCAACCTTACAATCTCATTAAAYTTGTAATTTGTATTGGCCCATTCACTTGGTCTCTTCATTTCCAAGGCCTCCCACAGTCTCAGGGTATAAATCACTATGACTCATCCAAATAGTACCGAAACGGACCAACCAGAGGTTAATGTGCCTTCCTCTTCTGGTACCTTGATCTTTGTAAAGTTATCTCAAACTCATCACTTTCTTAGGGCTGGGTATAGGCATTGTCTTTTTCTAAGATGTATGTGTTGAAATTGCAACAGGATTGTACTGTTATTTGTGACTTGCTCCATTTGTGTTAGGATGTGGTGTAGACACAAATCAATGCACTGGTTGGTCTTGGTATCAGTCTTRTCAGTTGACACCTCTCAGTGCTGCTTGTATGTTCATGTGTACATAAATGCTGGATATTCCCCACTGCCTGTGATGCATAAAATGCCCAAAATACACAGGGTGTTTTAAAATGTGCAGTGATCACAACTTATTGCCTGAAGGTAGAATGTCCTACAGTGAACTGGTTTTAGTGGATTTTTTTCCCAAGTATTTTTAATAAGATTCAAAGCCTTGAGGGACAAAATAATCAGGACTTGCTGATACTTGATGGATTTTGTTCTGAATCCAGGGTCTGATGTTTGTTAACAACTCCTCCAAATCCATCCAGCTAATAGAGGCTTTCTCATTGTTTCTGTCATGGGCTGTATCAGAAACAGAGAACCCTGAACTACTACAGAAGCTGTCAAGCAGAGTAGTAACAGYTCTCTTCAAATATTACAGTGCACATTTTTTAACTGTAAGATAAAACTGTTCAAAGTTATTGATGCAGCTTGCAAATAGAACAGTGGGAAATGGTGGATAGTATGTGAAACCATCCTGTCTGCACATGGGGATCAGTATTCTGTTACCTTGCAAATTGTTTCTCTGAAAAGTTTTGTTGGGATTTTTTTTCAATACAAAGACATTATACATTTGGCTTAGTTTCTAAGGATATTTTTGTTTACAAACCTCAAATTGACATCTGGAAATTGGACTGTTTYTGTCTGTTACGTAGACTACGACTGATTCCTGTTGTCTCATAAGAGCATGGAAATAGGAACATATCTTCACTTGCAGTGGCCTTCCATGGGCATGCTGGTGCATAATTAACTGAATCACAGTACTACACTCTGTTGATCCATGAGGCTACCTTTGTATTTAAAATCAACATGATCAGTCATCAGTATATTGACATCAACACATGGTCATGCAGCTCTAAGGTCTGTGTGTTCTGTTCTAACTGTATGTGTTCTGTCTGTACTGTGGTGCAGACTTACTCTGGAGAACTTCAGTAAGGTGCTGTTTTACTTTTCAGTGCAGAACAAATGGATTTAACTTAGTTTTCTATCTTTAGCATCTTCCTCTTCTCCCATTTTTCCCTAGTTCACTTTTAACAATCAGTTCAAAGCTGTCCGCCTATTCTGAAAAGCATCAAGTCATAATAAAAAGAAGACCTGTAGCCCAATGTGGCAAGATCACTGCTTTTACCATAAACTTCTGTGACTGGATGCCTGTTTTGCAAGTGGAGACTAAACCCCTGCACAGTTTACAGAAGAAATTCTCTTGCCTCCATGTTGTTCAGTGAATATCAGCAGATCAGGAAGTGGAAGTGCCCTGCACCTGCACCCAGTGTGTTTGTCTAACTGATCTGTAGTGGTTTAGCCAGAGAACTGACATCTCTGGCTGCTATTTAAGTCTTGACTAAAGGTTTCATTCAGGGCAGTGCCAGGAGAGTGAGTTGCTGACTTGATCCCATGTAAAGGCTTCCTCAACAGATTTTTTTTTGGGTGGAATTATACAAGAGTAAGGATACAAGCAAAGCAATAATCCTCTGCTCCAAAGAGAAAAATTATTCTAATCTGTTTTGGCTAGGAAGCATGACAAAGGCTAGCTATGCCAGAGGTGAGCTGGCAATGGAGTGTTTGAAGGGTAGGCCTTGAGGGTTTGTGCCATCATGCCTTAGATCACTGCAAACTAATTGCTCTCAAAGCTTTCGAAACTGGTGGTCATCCCTCTTCAGATGAGATGTGAAGATGGCATGGGGAAAAAACAGTGGTCACTCAGTCTTCCTCTCARCATTCAAGGTTACCAGTGCACTTGTGTCTTTGTTTTCATGAGTGGCTATGATTAATGTGCTTCACAGCTGCCACCAGCCCCTTCCACATACTTTGTGCAGGGATGATGGAGTGAAAGAGCCTTCTCTGCATTATCCTCCACTTGGCTGGTTGTTATCAGTGCAGGGGCTAACAGGCCAGCTGTGATTTACAGCTTCAGCTGCTTGCTGTGGGCTTCTTCCACACTGCAGGTGTGATGTGGGGCTGTTATGAAAAGAACTGGGTAAGTAACTTCTGGTGGGTTTTGCCACTCTTGTTCAAAATGCTGTCTCCAGTCTCAGTCTCTTGTCCCAGCCTCACTCACATCTTGCCACCCTCTGACATGCAGGACTTGAGYAAGTCCCCTGTTCTCTCATGGTGTACTCGTTCAGGTACCAAGTTCTGCAAAGCCTGGGGGCACCTGTTAGAGCCCTACTACACTTTGAAATTTTCACACTTGCCTAGGCAGTGGTTTGCTAAACTAGGACCTTGCTCACAGTGTCCTTATTCATTTTACTCAGCTCTAGGTATCTCCCCAGACTCTYATATCCCTTTCAGTCTAAAAGGGTTTGCTCCAAAGCCCATGGAGTCAATTCCTGTACTGCTGGTTTTTGCAATTCAGTGGCTTTTCTTTTTCTTGTTTTTATTCTGGGGTTCACTGCAAATGTACAAAACCATACTGACTTTCTTAACTCCTGAACATAGTACAATGGTCCATCCTGTGGCATCAGAATTATATGTCTACTCTCAAAGTGCACTGAAGCAAGTATCTCTTAGACAAACAAGGGGRAAAACAGCTGCATATACATGGGTGAAAAGGTATGAGTAGGATAGGTGAGGAAGCAGCTTATGAATTTTAAGCATAAAAACAGTAATTGAGGTCTTTTGGGTTCTCTTTTAAAAACTGCTTTAACAGGAGATTAGGTGGTGTTTTAACCAATAGAAATTTGCAGTGTAAACTGAGGTTTCTGTTCATCAATGCAAAATGTGCCTCTCAACTCTAATGCAAAGTCAGCCTCGGTTGCTCTCGTTTGCAATGGAAGATTATCTGAAGACTAATTTAATGTGTTTCTTGCTTTTAAATGTAATCACCCACAAAACAGTCCTTGCTGGTCTTTCCCAAGCACTGTTCAGTACTATCCCTATTTAAAAACAGAACAGGGACTGCATTGCACAGTGGAACCTAATGAATTCCTTGGTTTGAGAGAGACCCTGGAGATGAGTGCAGGTTCCATGTGTTTTAAATACAACTTTAAACCAATTCAGCTATTGTCTCAGACCAGCACAACTTCCTACCTTTCCCTCTATTTACAAAGGAGTTAAAAAGTAAACCAAGCAATACATGAGCCAGTTGATGTGCTTGCAGGTGAAACATGTCTTTTTTTTAAATCTGAAGATTGAGATTTCTCTTGTGGAAGAACTCATTTTGAGTGCAAGAGTGTGGAGCTCAGATTACAGCTCTTCTGCCAGCATGTTCAATGCAATTAAGTATTCCAGACTCTTTTGAAGACCATATAAAAGCTGTGAAAATATAGACTGGAACTGATAATTTTAGGTATGTGTGTGTTGCTTGACTACATGGACAGTGTAACAATGATTTTTACAGATTGGTTTTCCACGTATTAGACATAAATAATTTGCTGTTTGGAGGAAAACTTTTAGTAGATACGTTTCCAGATCAAATTATGAGCCTAGTTTTTTCCCTGTTGCATTAACCGGATTACTGTGTTCACATGCCAGAAAGATTTGCTCTTTGAAGAAGCATGTTAGTGTATGTGGCAATGCCCCATGCACTTTTTAAATACCTAAATCTGTACATTCTCATCTGAGTATTGTTAACCATGCTGTAGTCTGACAAATTAATCTTTTACTACTGCCCTGTTACATAGATAATTGTAATTAACTGCAGTTYGTTTTTTCCACTACTTGAAGTCGTGTGATCTGAAAATTGGTGAACGAAAAGTATTTGTGCATCTTACTATGGGTATCTCTAAATAAAATGTATTTGTATAGTGTGTTGGCTTGGTTGATCTTTTAGTTTATTTGGTGATCGCCCCTTTGCAGGTAAATCCAGGGCAGTTTGGGAGCAAGTAGGCTTGRGTTTCTTCCTGCACCAGTCCACCCTCTGTGTGGACACGACTGATTSAAATGAAACAAAGTGTACTGTTCTTTTTCCTTCAGTGAGTGGATTGATAACCCAAGAGCAGAAACTCAGCTTAWTTTTGGTTTTTCATGGCCTAAACATCAGTTCCAGTTCTCTGTACAGCTGCAGTAATATTTCCGTAGGAAATTTATCTAGGGGCAGAGTTGGGACTGTTACACTCCAAAGCATCTCCTTCCTGTTCTTGTCATCTGGTCTTCATTTGCTCCAAGGCAAGAGTTCCTTTCATTTCAACCACTTAATATTTCTACGAAGGACCTACCTGTTAGAAGTGCTGAACAGCACAGATAATTGTAGCTGCACTGTCAGGTATAGGACTACRGGTTTCAGGGAGATCTTTCATCCCAAAACTACATCTGTAGCACTTTCACATATTTTCAGTGCACAGGAGAAAGAGGCCTTCGTATAGCTTTCCTATTTCAGTGTCCATAATTGGAAGTTATTTTTTTCAGAGGAGGAATGTGTAAGAGGTCTAAGTTTTATGCTGGAGGTTAAAATCATGCCTAAAATCAGCTGCATCCTTGTCTTCACCTTTGGCCTCATCCTGAGGGGCTGGTTTCTATGGACAAACTGAATCTTTGTAAGCAAAGCTTTTTAAGTGAGGTTGGAGACYGCATCTACAGCTGCACCATCTCTGCTCCCTGTAGCAGGCATTACTGATGCTTGTGAATGCTGGAAGAGGAGACTCTGAAAAGATACAARAACACTATGTCATTCCACTGAGCCTTCAAACCAAACTGTTTGAGAGATGCAAAAAGACCCCAAAACCCGTGGCCCTGGAGACAAACAAAACATGATGGGTTGGAGAGGGTTCTGGCAAACAGGGTTACCAACTCCCCACCTGCATCAGATGCTCCATCAAATGCAGCATTCAGAATGGTGTGGGGCCTGATAAATGACTYACAGGACCAAAAATGACTTCACAAATTCCAAAGCTGTTAAGTCTTCGCTAGGCTCCATTTACATGCATGTCCCGCTAAAATCTCAGCAATAAAGAGTCTAAATTGTCCCCAAACAACTAATTTTAGTATTCATCTATTTTGTCTCATCACCTGTCTTGCAGGTCCCCTTGCTTTCCTATTCACAGTATAGATGAATCAGTTTGTTCCTTTATGTAAGGCAGCTCACCCTTATTTTGGGTAAATATTTAGAGGTTAGGGTTTTTCTTTTTATTTCTTTTAGGGAATTTTTCTCTATTTTGTTGCTAAGGAACAACCACGACCAGGTGCTTAAGAGAGACAAAAAGTTACCCGGCTCAGGGGAGCAGGGCACTTGGCTGCACTTCTCTGATCTGAGGGTTTCTCTGTGAAGAACAGAGATCCCGCAAGAACTGGGCTGGAAAAGTGGGGCTGGGACAGCTCCTAGTTCTCTTGCTCTTTCACCTTCGGAGGAAAAGGGTGGAACTGCTGCCTGGGGGAGACAATTTGCTGCTGCCGCCGGAGCCCAGCATCCTGCTTTTCTCCTGCCGTAGGTGAGCCTTTGCTCGTAAGAGCAGCCGTTGTATTGGGACATGAACACCCTACCTCACCAAAGGACCCTTCACCATCGGCTTGGGTGCCTCAGGGAGACCTCGGGATCCCTGAGCCCCTTCCTCCTTCCAGGGAGTCTCTCTTAACCGGAGCCAGCGGCCTCTGTCCAGCCCCCGCTGTTCCTCTGCCACTGCCCCGAGGTTTCTCTGCCACCCTCGCTCGCACCCCCTGCCCTGCTGGCATGCCCCGAGGGTCCAGCTACAGCTGCCGAATTTCTGATACATCTCATCCACCGCTCTGGGACTTTGCTCATTCCTGCCTTCCTAGCTTGCTACTCCAAGGTTCCTGCTACAGGCTCCTCTGGTGTCCAGAGGGAGCACCAGGATCGGCTCCCGCTGTGAGTTCRTAAAGAAAGCCGCCTTTCCACCCAGTCCCGCCACCCGGGGCCACCATTACCGCGTGAGGGAGAGAAAGCCCCGCGGCACAGCGCCCCCTGCCGGCGCGGGGGAATCACCGCACCCGCCCTGCCGGGCCGGGAGCCACAGCGCCCCTGCCGGCTGYGACCGTAACTGCACCAAAGGGGAGGGCGTAGGACAGCCCGGAGGAGGCTGGCACTGGGGTTCGGGGTTTGTTTGTTGTTACTGCAGTTGCTGTTGCTTGTTTACCTTGTCGTATATACCAGTAAAGACCTGCTATTCCTTTTCCCATATCTTGGAGGGAAGCGGGGGGAGTCATATTCTCCATTCCAAGGGAGGTTCCTGCCTTCCTTGGCAGATACCTGTCTTTCAAACCAAGACAGAAAGGATTTTTAACTACTTCATGGCCACAGTCTTCAMTCCTTCTGCCAAACAGTCCAGGCTCCCTCCACGCTTTCTCATTGGCCAYGCTTGACATATGCATGGGTGGCCATTTTCATTCCTGTCTGTGGAACCAAGATGAGATCCACTGTACCCCTTGGCCTAAAGCCTGCAGCCAGTCTATGCTGTTATTGACTATGCCTTCACTGTATGCTACAAACATGTGGCAGTCGACACTACCCCTTTCAACACTCAATCTGCTGCCTGTCTCCAACTCCAGCCAGTTGCTGCAGGTTTGCTTGGCTGTCATCACTTCCCTTCTTGAGTGTATTTTGTTTCTGATCTCTGTGACTTGGGGCCTCAGCTCTTGCCAGCTGGTGGTACTGCTGTTGCACAAGGAGGAAGCCAAACCAGGAGAGGACTGGGAATAGTTTCACACTGTTCTGTTAGTTATTCCTAGCCATAGCTGTACTCATCCTGCCTGATTTTGATTGGAGGATTAGGACAGTCTTTCTAATACAAGGTTCTTTCAAGGTCCAGTAAATAAATTAATAAATAAAGAGATGGTAGGACACAGTGTTTGAATTGCTTTTTGAGCAAGAGTCGCCCATTCTTTGAGAGACTGAGTGACAAAGTTCATAGCATATTAGAAAGCAAGAATCTCTGTGCTTTGTCTCCGAACCCCTCAGTCACTCCTCTGGAAGAACAAATGTCAGGAGGGCTTCAGCCAYAAGGCTCAAGGGACCATGTGGCCAACATGGCTTTTGGGAGCTACAGGTCAGTACTGCCCTGTTTCCTCTTCACTCTCACCTCATGAGCTGGCAGAGGTGAGAGGGAAGGCACCGGCCTCAAGAGCAGAGMTGCGATCAAAAGGTCAGATAGACATTGCTTGAGCTATTTGTGCCAAAGACATAAACAGAGTGAGAATCATGCTCCAGGGATGCTGAAATGCCAGCAGAAAGATTTGTAACCCCAGTATTCCATGCCTGTGGCTTTCTTTCCTCTGTGTTGTCAAAAGTTTTCCTGTCTCAGGGGTTTCCTCTCTCTACAAACTCACTGCAGTACCTGATGGATGTTGAATGTGAAGCACACAGACTCAGCTACAACAGAAATTTTACAGATTCTAGACAACTGGAAAAAAATGTGACTAAGGGTTGTCTTTCAGGAGACTGACATGATTGCTGTAAAACTCCACCCCAAATAACTGCTGTGTTCTGGGCAAGTATTCACCTAGGGAGTAATTTTGGTTAATCTCTCTATACATCTGAGCCCTGAGAAAAGTTGTGGAGCCAAAAGAATGAGTAAGAAAATAAGATTCACTTCTGCAAGTGCTGTAGCAGGGGCAGCCTGTGTCCTGCTGTTGAGGGCTGCTGGACACCACACTGCAGCCAGCCAGTGAGAATGCCAGCAGAGCACTATATAGCTCTTCATGWAGACTTTTTTCCTTCCTGGAAATAAATTCTAAGAGTCATGATGACTTTCCATGTGTATTTATAGGAGCATCTCTTTCCTGTTAATTGCAGAAAGCAAACTTCAGCTTTTTACCAGTATAAATAGGCTTTGACTCCAAAAATAGGCTTTGTCCCTGTTACTTTGTATGCTGCTACTGTTGACCTGGAGTATATTTGGTTTTGGGGAAAGATTAGTTCTGTGCTTTGGGCTGCTCAACTTGTTGCTTAAGGAAAAGGGAAACGTCTGGAACTTGAATGTGTATTGGTCCCAGGACCCAGGTCTCAATACCAGCAACTTGACTCAAGTGGGCTTTWTGCCAGTGATCACAACTCCTTGAACCCAGCAGCTCTGCAGTTCTCAGTCCAACTCACTGTCCATATAYCCAGTGTGTAGTCCATCAGTTTGTCTGTGAGACTCTTTCAGCAAACACCACTGAAAGCTTTGTTCAAACTGGGCAGCACTCCCTCCTCTTCCCTCATTTATCAATGCAGTGATTTCATCACAGAGGATGACCAGGTCATCCCGACATGACTTCTCCAGTAAAAATCCATGCTGACTACTGCCAGTCACCTTCTTGTCTTCAATGTTTGAGACTTTCGATGCTATTTGCTCTATCAGCTTTGCAGGGCTGGGTGGGGTTCACCAGCCTGCAGTTCCCTGGGGTCTCCCAAACTCACTGATTTGTTCCTATCATTGCCAGTTGCTGCATCTACAAACAGCCCTTTTAAAATTGAAAACAGATGGCTGACATTTAACCAGAGTTGGCAAATATCCTTGGACACGCTATTCAAAACATTCTCCTAAAATGTATCACAGGATAAAAATGCTTGTMATTTATCCTAAGATGAAGTTTGGGGGAAAACAACAAATGGTGCAAATTCAGCTTCCACTTTACAACTCTATTAGTTTGTTACTATTCATTACAGGAACCTTGATATAATCTGGAGTAAGGGAAGATTGAGGTTCCACTAGGCTGATAAAATCCAGCTGATAAAGGCAGATGGTCTGTAAGCACTGCAAGAGGCATTGTGCAACACAGTGCAAGGATGTTTAAAAGTCCTTCAGTGATTATCTACTCCAACTCTGMCCCACCAAGTTCTTTTAAGAGCTGGCCAAGGAAACCCCGGCTTCTTAGA